AAGAAACATTTCTACCACAGAGGAAGGGGATCAGACTAGGTGGGAATGCATGGCTATTAATTTGCATGGCATTAAACAGATCCGTAACTCTGCCAATTGTACAAACTTCCACAGCAGCCAGCAAGAGGGAAAAAAAAAAGTAAACCTTGTTCTAAAATGGACCCTAAAAAACCCCTTCCCATCCCACATGCCACTTTCTCAAGGCAAGCAGAAAAATGCATGACCCAGTCACTAATAATCTGAAAACCACATATAAGTAACAACAATTTCTAATTTTTTAAGGATTTGGCTTATAGTATCATTAGAACTGCAGAAACTCAAGTGCCAACAGTAGCAATATCAATATTATGCAAATATTTTTTTCCTTTCTGCATTTACACATTTTTCAATATTTAATTTAGTGTTCAACCTCTTTACTTAACACTATTTAACTAAGCTATTATGAACAAAATGATAAAAACAAAACGAAAAACCTTAAACTTAATGACTTGAATACCTCTTTGCCCTTACTTAATTGGAACTAGAGCCCAATGCTTACATTTCCCTCAAGCACAAATTTTATTAGAATCTAGAATTATGCATCTCACATCATCATGTATATTAAATCACATTCCTATAGTCTAAAGTTTTCAGACAAAAGTGCCTAATTCCACATAAAGTCACTCACAGATAATCACCTACCCCTGATTTAAGTGCTGAGCAAGCCTAATTCCTAGAGAAATCAACTGCAGCTGTGAGTGACCTGCATTTCTGAAAACCAGGAAACTTAGTTAAGGCTTAAAATTAAGATTTAACAGTCTTAGAAGCACCAGCAGAACCACTGCATACCAGGAAATCTCTGTTACAGGCCTAACATTACACCAGTGTTTGAGCTTTGTAGCAACTGCTCCTACAGAAGTAAAATTCAAACTTCATATATAATCAATAGGTGAGCATACTCTGAAACTTCAGCAAATAAAAATCTGAGTCACACAAAGGAAAGGAAACTAGAAAATGCCCTGATCCTGCACTTGCAAAGGCTGGTAAATATATCCGAGAGGATCAGAAAGCAGCAGAGATTATTTGTGGCCTAATACAAGTTCAGTTTAAAATGACAGATATAAATTAGGGAGAATGCAGCAGCAAACGGATTTTTTGGGAGTGACGGTTTCTGTCACCTTCAAGTGCCTCAGTGGATACCAGAACCAAATTAATCATCTCAGGGGTTACTGGTAGCATTAGGGTTTGGTTTTGTTATTTCAGGCAGAACTTATTACAACTTCACTAGCACATCTATCCACAGAATCCACACTTCACCTACCGCACACATATGCCTTTTTACTAACTTTCACTAAACAAATCTCACTGGGGGCTGAAACATCCACAGACACCCACAACTAAAGCTCAGCAGTGTTACATACTGGAACCAAGATCATCTCAATCTGACACTTTACAAAGCAAGAGACACTGTGTGCACAGCAGATATCCAGACTCCCTCTCCGAAGAATTACTGAGACACTGCGAGCCGTGCATTTCACCCAAAACATATCAACAAACACAGCCCTCCGCAGCACAAATCTCCGATCAATTAGGCATGAAACTAGTCTCGCAGCAACAGCCAAATAAAAAATCAAATGGTACCTGGTATCCCTGCAACCAAAAGGTCACCTAGATACGGGGAAATCTGAAGTAAGCCCAGTTTCACAAAATAAAAAACAAAAAACAAGAAACAAACAAACAAAAAAAAACCCACAAAAAAAACAAATTGATGGCTCAAAGCGGCCACCCACTTCTTAATTCTCGGTGTAAACCAAATTTCCTTGAAGTTTCACTGTCCGCCACCCACCCCGCTGACACAAGACTGCCCAGGGGACTTGAGTTTCATGGCTGGGCTGGGGTTTTCTCCCTTTCTCCAGGGTACCGGAGCGGCGCGGGCAGCCCCGGCACGGCCGCCCTGGGACCCGAGCGGAACGGGGCGCGGGTCCCCGCGTCCCCCAGCGTTAGCACCCACGCAGGCAGCGCGCACGCTGATTTCCCTATTTACCCTACACTGCGAGGAGCATCACCGCAGCTCCCAGGGAGCATCCACCGCTCTGCATCCCCGTCCCCCACGCCCCCAAGCCAGCCTGCTTCCCCGCAGGTGCAGTCCGGGCTGTCACGCGTGGGGGAGCCTAGCAGTGCCCGGAAGCTCGCTCCCTCCCTTCCCTCCCTCCCAGGAGTCCGCGGGGGAGGGGGGATCCGACAGCCCAAACCCGCTTTCGGCCGAGCCCGCCCCGCCGGCCCCCTCCTGCCGCCCGCCCCCCGAGCGATGCAGAACAGCGCTTCTTCCAGCGCAAACGCCGCTCCCCGCCCTTCACGACGGGGAGGGTCCGGGCCCCGCTGCCGAGCCTCCCCGGCTCCTGCCACTCCCCGCCAGCCGCACCTCCCGCCGCGGTCCGGGGAGCGGAGCGGTGCCCCCGGCCCGGCCCCGGTACCTGTTGCGGCGGGGCGCGCCCCCGAGCCCCGCGGCGCGGAGCGGAGCGCAGGGCAGCGCGGAGCGGCAGGGCGGGCGGCGCGGCTCCCCCGCCCCTCCCCCGCCTGCCCGCCCGCCCGAGGCGAGCCGCGCCGCCCGGTGACACGGAGCGGCACCCGGGAGGGGACGGGAAAAGGTGCCAAGTCCTTTAAAAACATGTCACATGCCCACATAAAGTTCAAGTTTACGTCCCGCCCGCCGCCCGCCGCGATTGGCGGGCGCGCCTCGCAGCGCGGCGCGGCCGGGGCCAGGCGGACGCGCCATTGGCTGCGCTGCGCCGTCAGTCACCCGCCGGGCGACATGACTGATACAAAGTTGCTGCGACACAGCCTGGGAAACGCATCTCCTTAAAGCCGCAGGGACCGCGCGGCCCCCGCGCTCCGCCCGCCCGCCCGCGGGGTCCCCGCGCACCGCCCCGGGCACCCCCGGCGAGGCCGGCGGCGCGGCGGCCCCGGGACCCCGCGCACAGGTGAGGTGCGCGGGGCGCGGCCGCCCCCGCCCGGTGCCCGCGCCGCGCCGGCGGCAGGGCCGGGCATCGCCTCTCCGCCGGCCCGGGGTTTCCGCCTGTCAGCGGCGCATGAATGCGCACCGTTCTGATGCAGCGGTGATTTAACCAGGGAAATTTTAAAAAATAAATATAATTAGGTGGACGGAAAAAAAAGAAAGAAGAAAAATGTATGGGGGGAAAAAATTTAAAAAATAAGGAGCGGAGGAACGACGACGGAGGAGCGCAGGAGGGTTCAAGGACTCGTCCTCCGCTTCCCGCCGGGCTGGCTCCGCTCCGCGGCAGCCGCGCATCCCGCCGGGCGCCCCGCCCGCTGCCTCCCGCCAGCCAGAGGAGCCGCCGGAACGACCCCTGG